AAGGAGGAAACTATCTGATAAATTCGTAGCTGCAATTGTAATATGCCGTTCTATAGTTCTACATGTAATTAAGTGCATTATCCGTACAGGTTATTAAATAATTAATTATCTCTAAATTGTTATTAATTATCGTGTATTATTGTATCGTTCGACAAATATCAACCCCTGTCATTGTTAAAATTTAGAACCGACTTTAACACTAACCTCGCACTACACTATTGGCTCATTATGGTACAAGGTGCGCAGGTATTTAATCTGTGTAGCTATCAAACAATTCTTCACGTATTCAACGGACGAGTGCGCGTCCCGTCCCGTTATTTCTTACGTTTTTAGTGCTAGTTTCGCTGTATAGTATCAATAGCTATTGATCCCTATTTATTATTAGCTCTTGACGGTATCTTGCACTATAGTGATCGCATGTGCGGTGTAGCTGTCACGAATCTCGCCATGTTGCGAGCCGTGACTATGCAGCCGTGATTTAATAAGAGCGCGCGAGTACGATGACGCACACAGCGACAGCGCTGCGTCGGCTGGTCGACTTTGTGCGGATTCTGGTTTGATTACATCCGCTAGCGCCTCTGCTTTAATTCACTTTACATCTGAAATAGGTCATGTTTACTGGCTGCATATGAGACACTATACATGCTACCGCACTCGGTCAGGAAGTCATTTATTCGACTAACATACACTATGTATAGCTCTTATGTATATATACGCTATGTGTATATACACTATGTATATATACTCCTATGTATAATTATATACTACTATATACTACTATATATATGTTACTATACTACTATAAACTACTGTATATTACATACTTACATTACTATACTACTATTATTGAGCTAGTTCAGGTTCAATCACTCATTCACCTCCCATCCCTGGTTTACTTCCGATCCCTGGTTCACGTCCAATCCCTAGTTCACTTCCATTCCCTAGTTCACTTCCAATCCCCAGTCCACCTCCCATCCCTGGTTCACTTCCAATCCCTAGTTTACTTCCAATCCCCAGTCCATCTCCCATCCCTGGTTTACTTCCGATCCCTGGTTCACGTCCAATCCTTCGTGCTCCCCCAAACCTTGGCTCACCTCCGCACCCTTATCGGCCTTCTACCGAGCTCACGTAGTGTACCCCCAGTCCGCTACCTAGTGTGAAGCTCTGCATGCGTAGCAGCACTCGCATGGCTCATGTTCATCAACGATGTATGAGTACAGAAATCGTCTGCTGAACCTGCGACCGACCAAGCCGCAGAAAAGGCAGACGCCCGTCATTTGACTTTCCACAAAAATAGAAATTTATTATAAATAATATATTATATATTATAAATATCATAAGAAATTAGACGCCCGTCGTTTGACTCTCCACAAAAATAGAAATGTATTATAAATAATATATTATATATTATAAATATCATAAGAAATATGGCATTATAATCAGCGGCAGCAGCACGAGTGTCACAACGTCAGCTTTGCGCGAGTTTTTCGTCACTGTAAGAGTCCAGACATTAATTAACAAAGCCTAATAATATTTGGACAGCGATAATTGACGTTATTTTGCAGACGCCCGTCGTTTGACTTTCCACAAAAATAGAAATGTATTATAAATAATATATTATATATTATAAATATCATAAGAAATATGGCATTATAATCAGCGGCAGCGGCACGAGTGTCACAACGTCAGCTTTGCGCGTGAGTTTTTCGTCACTGTAAAAGTCCAGACATTAATTAACAAAGCCTAATAATATTTGGACAGCGATAATTGACGTTATTTTGCTAGCGTTCATCGTTAGCTGCTGCGATACAACGAGCCAATAGCAGGTTAATGGCGTTAAGTTGTGAAGAAATGTAGCAGATTTGAGAACACGTAGAATTACAGAAGCGGTCGATAAAAAGAAAAACTTGAGGTTAAGCGTTCTTAAACCCGTGAAGCGGTGTTTGAATTGGTCGCATCTGTGTATTTTTATTTCTTTGATCCATCTCGGGTTTGTATAAATGCTGACATAGACACAAAGTGAGCAGTACTAACAGTTCAAATTTAGTTACTTCCTTCCTGGTATTGACTCGTTTCATGTATGTTATCGGGTGTATGTGTGTGCGTGCGTGCGTGTGGGCGCGCGCGTGTGTGTGTGTGCACCCGCACAAGGAGCAAGTGAATCCCGGCTTTCACGCAGCAAACATTGCGATTTTATGTAGTATATGTATAGAGCATCGTATTAATATTTGGAAATTAACGTCAGAAACGACCTTTTCATTGGCACTCGGTCATTCCCGTATAACACTAATTAAATTGCCAATCGTACTTTTGTGGGTAAATCATTGTCGTGGCGCTGTCTTTAATGCGAAATCGTTCAAGAACCAACACGATTGCTGTAGGCGCCCTCATTACAATAATCACCCCATTGAGATGAATCGGCAAAAACGCGCGTGTTCGCTAAAGTCAGCGAGAAAATGTCAGTCATCGAGAGAAGCAGTTACGCCTAGAACAGCCGGTGGTTTCATATACGCGATATGCCCGCGCAGATACCCGGATCTCCCGAAATGATATTCGCAAATTCGCTCAGACGTACTCTCGTGGAGCAGTCCGGATTCTCAAAGAAAAAGGCTGTTAGTATTAAAAAAAGAAAAAACAAACGTTGCTGCAGATATTACACCGTTATTGATGTGCACTCCACGTCCGTCAGGAGATCGTTCAAGCATCTTGCCGTCTTCTTACCGTTGCAGAAAACATAGCTCAGGGGATTTGCAAAGCCGCTTGAAAACCCGCAAGGTTCTCGGAGTCGGAGAAAGAGACATCGGTGATGTTCACAGATCAAAGGTTCGTTCGTAGTGTCTCGGGATGTTCCGTCAAATATCTTGCATGCTGGTTTACCATGGCTTCACAGAGCGGCTCTTCGTACGACTCGTTCTTCTTCTATTACTTCGCTCGCAGTCTTGTTTCCGGGTCATCATATACACGCACGTACGTACGCACGCATGCCCGCCCGCCCTCGCCCCTTTTTCTCTCTCCCTCTCTTTGCTCTTCCTCTAGCCTTTAACTTTCGCTCTAGCATTCTCTCAGGCCTATTTGCTCAATTCATATCTCTCTCCACCTCCTCTTCTTTCTCCCCCATCTCTCTCTTTCTTTCTCTTTCCCACTCTCTTAAATTGTCACTATGAGAGTGCGTGCGTTCGTGTATGCGTAAGTGAATGCGTGCATGTGTGCGTGCCTGCATGCGTGCGCGCGCGCGTGTGCGTGTGTGTGTGCGCGCACGTGCGTGCTTTTGTATGTGTGCGTTTGCCTTCTATTATATATCTCTGGTTTGTCAACACGATAGCCTTTTACTTTTCCCGTATCGTTCAAACTAATAAGATATACGATCTAATGATAATATGAGATACGAGTAATGGCCCTTCTATATCTGTAGTCGTGTAACCGATCCCTGAGTGCATGTTCTCTAAATTGACTTGACGAAGACGTAGCACAGAATACGCGCTGTCACACAGCAAAACCTGGCCCGGCAAAGCTAACAATGTTCACGTAGGCTCGTTAGAGACGGATTGCCCGATATTATCGCGTTATGTGAGACGTAGGAAGCTAGGCATCGACAGACAATCCCATCGATATTCTGCTCGCAAGAGTTCGTTTACGTCGATATTGCAAAATCCATTTACTCGCTAACTCACAATTCCGTAAAGACATTGCATGGGGCAGGAATAAATGATGAATAATACAAAGGATGGATGAGTCAAATGCAGGCAGGCAGACTGGCAGACACAGAAGTGCTGGCAGACATAGGCAGACGGACGGTCGGACGGATGTACAGGAAGACGGAAAAATAGTCGATCGGACGGACGAACAGACTGACGGACGGACAGACAGGCGGGTGACGGGCAGACCCACAGACTGACAGGCAGGCAAACAGACAGACAGACAGACAGACAGACAGACAGACAGACAGACAGACAGACAGACAGACAGAACAGACAGACAGACAGACAGGCAGACGTGGTTTATATGTG